CATTCTCCTCCTCATGTGTCACCCACTCCTCCTGACAAAGGCGGGGGAGAAAGTGCCTTTAAACTCCAAGCAGTGCCAACCCAAGCAAGATCGGAGAGACGGATGGCAAAGAGAGGCAGAAGGAAGGAGAGAGAAATCACACTCACCTTTGCAGGTAAGAGAGCCGCTTGCCTTTTCATTTTAAGTACACAGAGCAGGACTTTGGGTCTGGTTTTCTTTTGGTCTCAGTGGCACACATGAAGCATGTTTCTCTATATGTTCACCTTTGGTGGCTCCATCCTCTCGCCCGACTGCCTCTGATCTTTAAATTCTCCATTTGGGCATACTCTGGGGTGTTTGTAAAGGCCTTGGCATCTTCCCAAATCATTTCATTTCTAGTTTATTGTGGGTTTTTTGGGATGTGTGGCCATGTTCTAGAAGAGTTTCTTTCTGACGTTTCGCCAGCATCTGTGGTTGGCATCTTCAGAGAACATTGCATTTGTATTTATTTTGACAAATCGGCAGCATGATAAATCAAATAAAAACATTACAAAACAAATCAACTAGGTATAAATCAATGGGAAGTGGGGTTGTGATAGGAAAACTCTTTCTTTCTTTCTTTCTTTCTTTCTTTCTTTCTTTCTTTCTTTCTTTCTTTCCTTCTTATGCCTTTAGCCACAACCCTGTTCCCAAAATGTTAGTAGTGAGATGATGATGTTGCTATGTCCTTAACAGCCCACTTTTTGTAGATATCAATAGAGTGGGAAAGTTCAGCAATATCACCAGATAATACTTGTAAAGGTCACTGATGGTGGGGGAAAAATAAGTTGTCAACCATGATAAAGTATGTCCCCTGAGACTGCATTCAGACTGGAGCTTCGAAAAAATATTTTTGGGAAATATGCGTCTACACTGGATGGGGGATTTGGGGAGTTGCAGTTCCCAAAAGGAACATGTATTTCCAAGCTCTGAAACTGACGGACATATAGTTTGGAGTAGAGAACCAGAGCGGTGTAATGATTACTGGGGCTGTAGCCTCACTGCAGGAATAATCCAGTTTGACTCCACTTTAACCACCATGGTTTAATGCTAGGGAATTCTGGGAATTGTAGTTTGTTGTGGCACCAAAGCTCTCTTACAGAGAAGGCTAAATGTCTCACAAGAGTATAGTTCCAAGAATTCTGTAGCATTTAGCCATGGCAGTTAAAGTGTTGCCAAAATGGATTAATCGTCCGTGTGGATGCAGCCAGTGTTGGAGTAGGACTAGGGAAACCAGGGTTCAAATGCACATTTGCCCATGGAAACCCACTGGGTATCCTAGGATATGCTTTGTTCTCTCAGCACAAATCTTTCCAAGAAAACGCTATGATAATGAATAGAGTTTACATAAGCTGGAGTTAATTTGAAGGCAAGTTAACAAGAGAGTCAGTACATTGTAGTGGTCTGAATGTTGGACTCTGGGAGACTGGGGTTCGAATTCCACTCAGCCATGGAAACTCACTGGGTGACCTTGGTCATGTCACACTCTCTCAGCCTCAGAGGAAGGCAATGGCAAATCTTGACAAGAAAACCTCACAGTCCCCATAGGTCGGAAACGATTTGAAGGCATGCTGCAACCAACATTTTGGAGCAGTGACTGTCATTAGAAAATGATGAGATTTGGTTGTGAGTAAAATTACTTGGGACTGGGCTGTAAGAAGGAAGGATGTGTGCCTCTTATTAGGCTACCTTTTTTTTGTGCAACTGATTAACTTAATGTTTAAGAAAAGACACAGTACAGAACTGCATCTGGTACTGATGTATAGGTCTTTCCAACTATTCTGGTATCTGTCTGGCTTTCTTGCCCCCCCTCTCCCATTTTTTAATCA